CAGTATTTCAGCACAGGAGCAGGACATACTCCAATTCTCACAAGGAAATAGGGAGTTCTAATTGTATCCTACTAATTCCCTGGGTCAGAGATGGGCATTGCTTTGTGTCCCTGCTTGATCAGCCATTTTTGTAGATTTACAGCTCTGACCCAAGCTTTCTCTGTTGCGGAGGATGCTGTGCACCCAGTTGGAAGTGGGACAGTCATTCACAGACTAACATGGTGAACGGGGCAAGTAGAGATGATCAACTTTTATTAACAGGGTAGGAATTTTACCAGTGATAAGTGTTCCATCCATGGAGTGTCAGCGACTAGCAGGCCTTTTGTGTTGCAAAGTTGCAAGGTTCAGTGAGGGGAGAGGGGTGAGTTTAATAGCAACTACAGAAAGCAGCCCTGATACTGCACTTCTTCAGCACAGCACTTAAAGTGGAAGCCTAAATTTTGGGCCCTAGATGCTGGTGTTTGACTTGAACCCAGTCTTCTGACTCAGATGCAAGAATACTGCCCACTGATTTTTGACCCACCGTGGAGGGTGGGTCCTCGAGAACCAGGGAAGAGAGCATTGGAAAACTCAGCTTTGGACATTGCACGTATCAGGGTCATGACCAGTATTCTGCTAATTATTCTTCTGCTGCGTGGACCTCCAAGGCCCATGCACAGCAGCAACTTCCAGAACCAAAGTCAGTGCTGTGAACAGTTGGAGCTGCTGCGCATGAGTGCAGTTTAGAAGGAACATAGTTCATAAGATTTTAAATTTCTGATTATATCTTTAGTTTAAGGTAAAATGAAAGGAATTGTGTGATCTGTTGAGGTCTGCATGACAACAGGTCTGGGTGATATAGCTGTTAGAGGTCAAAGAGCAGCTCAGGTTGTTTGTTAGAAAGAAGGTGTGTGGTGTTCACACTCAAAGACAATGGCAGCAGCATCTGCATGTACAATGGTTACACTGATTGTATAGCAAAAATCAAAGAACAAGTTAAGAATGTTGGACTGTAAATAGTTATGCTTTAAAATATCCAAGGTAGCTAATTTCACTGGAGTTTCATGGTTGGCTAAACAGTATTTCTACTTCAGTATGAGGCCCATGTGATTGATGGTGCCATGGAAATGGGCTTTGAGGAGAACGGGTTTCTCAGAGACCTCTAAAACTTAACAGACACAGAAGTGTGCCAGGATCTGGGAGAGAAGGAACCATCTTATGGGAATGTACATATGAGCCCATATTCAGATTGAAAAGAAGATTTGTGAGGAAGGTTCATCCAAGAACTGCAAGGAAAGGCTCTCACTGAGAAATATAGTCTGAAGTTAAAAGTTACAGAACTGCTAAAGGAAAAGGGCAGAAGTAAATCCTCAGGAGCTGAACTACTTAAGAGAAAATGTGAGGCATTCCTGTGAAGTGGTTTTTTGATTCTGTTAGAAGAAGGGGAATGTTCTGATCTGTAGTTTAAATTATAAGTTGACTACCTCAAAAGTGTTTCGTCAATAATACTCTTGGTCTGTTCATGACAATGAAAGTTGTAAAATGTGAATTTTTCTCATGTCATCCTTTCAGCTATCAAATGGAAATTTGACTTCCTTTTATTTTGTAAGCCATTAATCTCTATGGGGATCAGATCATGAGCCAACAAAAGTGTGGCCAAAAAGTGTGGGACTGAGCTAATCAAACAGGTGACTGATGTTAAAGAGTTGTGTGCACAGAGACTTTAGTTCTTTGTGACTATGCTATTGAAAGCATTTGTCCTGCTGCAGTTTGAACAAGCCTTTGGTCAACTGTCTCAGTTCTGAACATCTTACTATGGCTCCGTGCAAATTTTATTTGATAACATTCCTGTGAGGTGGCTTGGGACATTTCAATATTTTGAAGATCTTGTCCAAATGTAAGTTCTTGTGTTCCATTGATACTTGAGGAAGGTGGTCACACACTTGCTCTGAGTGTTCCCATGGTGACAGTGGATGCCTTATAGTAAGCCCATGGCTATTTCTGTTTATTTTTAAACCAGTTTAAAAAGCTCATGGATAAATCATTCTGGTCAGGTTTTAAGATGTTTGTGGTATATATTCCATACTGTACCAGCATGAGAATGAGTACTGCTGAGAAAAGAAGAGTGCTGTTGAAGCTATTCGTCTTGTGCCTTTAATAGTTATAGCTGTAATTATGGGCAACTTTAATCTGCATATAGATTTGGTAAATCAAATCAGTAATGGTAACATAGAGGAGGACTCCCTGGAGTCTGTACAGGATGGTTTGCTGGATCAATACTTTGAGGAAGCAGCTGGAGAACAGGCCAAGACAGAGAATTTAGTAATGAGAAAGGAATAATTGGCATTCAAACTGTGCAAGGCCCCTTGGGGTAGAGTGACCACAATACAATAAAATTCTTCATTAAGGTGGAGAGTAACAATGTTGATCCTGAGATTAGTTATGAAGTGCAAATTAGCTATGATAAACTGGTGAACAATACTTAATGGGATGACGGATGGGCAATGGCAAACATTTAAAGAGTGCATGGAGGGAGTGCAACAATTGTGCATTCCTGTCTGGCACAGAAACAAAATGGGAAAGGTGGCCCAACCTTGGCTAACAACGGAAATTGCCATAGAGAATGCATCAAGAAATAATCATCCGGAAAGTTTTTGTTAGTTGAAAAACCTGCATTGCTTGTACATGTGCTGAGTGCACAGGACAGAGCCCTGTATATGAATATACATAAATATGGCAAAAATGCCATGTTCATATCTGATAGCAGCAGCATGTCTGGATTGCTGTGATACAGTGATAAATGGACATGTCATTGTCTGAATCTGTAATCATTGAACTAATAAATTCATGTTGTTGATTTCAGCCTTTATAATACCATATGTGCTCAAATAGAAGCTGTCAGGGTTTCAACCATTTTCCGCAGCAGTTTCTGTGGCAACGAAACTGGTCGTCACATTCACTCTTGGACTACATACCTCTGGGAGTAAGCTCCTGGGCTATGGTAGTGATAAACAGCCACTGTATTCAAGATTTATATGTGTGCTTTGTCTTACTCGAGTGGCACTAAATGTTAGAAGTCTGTTGAAGTCAATTTTCACAGAACTGCAAGTGTGGCTTAGCCAAAACCGTTTTTCTTTATTCATTCATGGGGTGTGGGCATCCCTGGCTAGCGTTTATTGCACAATCCTAATTGCCCAGAGGTAGTTAAGAATCAACCACATTGCTATGGGTCTGAAGTCACAAGTAGGCCAGACCAGGTGAGGATAGAAGTTTCCTTCCCTAAAGTTTAATATAACTTCTGTTTTTTAATTCTGTCCCTCTAAAAATGAACCTGTGGCTTTAACAATCTGTGTTGTTACCTTGAGTTATCTCTTCATCCATGAGGGGAGTTTTCATGCCAGGCAGAGAACGGCTGAAGTTAAGAGAGTTTGGGGCTTGTGGAGGCACAGGACATCGATCCTTTTGCAGAAGTTCTTCCTGATGGGAACTAAACCTGTTGATAGCAAAGTAATTTGTTGTTAACATTTCTCAAATCTCTGATAACATTGGAAAAGTCTGTTGCAATTTGTGAAAATGCAGTGAATATCATTTTATTTGGCCCTCCTGATAAATGTTAACTCCCAGTATCTGAGCTTTGTTTTTCACTCATTGTTTGAAACCTGCTCTTTGAATTTTGTCTTCTGGTAGTTACAAGTTTCTATTCATGGCATGTGGGCATCAGTGACTGGGCCGACATTTGTTACTCATCCCTGATTAGTGTAGGTATACACACAGTGCTGTTTGGGAAGGAGTTCCAGGATTTTGGTCTAGCGACAGTGAAGGAACAGCAGTATATTTCCAGGTCAGGACAGTCTGTGGCTTGGAGGGAATCTGTTGCCCTTGTAGATGGTAGGGATACTGCCTTGGAAGCGTCAGCAAGTTTAAATATTCTGTTATGCCTGGTGAAGGGTGTGATAGGTGGAGGGGACTGCTCTCTAAGTGTTAGCAGATTTGGAAAAAGTATGATTATACCCAATTATGCTGCATCAGTATTTGTAGCTTAACTCTGATTGATTCCACATCCAGAACCAGCACTGACAAATCTATTATTGCATTATATAGCAATTTTAGTGTAATAAAATATCCCAGCAGTTAGTCAAATCCAACTTCCCCTTTAGTTTTGCCTCTTCGCGACCTCTAGAATTTCACTTTGGTAATTACCCTGCCTAGACTTAAGGACAATTTAGTAGCAATGTTCAAAATTACAAGGGGTAACAAAGATGAAATTGCTTCCAATGCATGGGGAATTGGTAATCAGGAGACAAAAAAAAACTTAAGAGAATTGGCATACAAACGAGGAGAAGGTGGGGAGATTTCCTTTTTAATCATTCATGGAATATGGGCCTCACTGGCAAGACCAACATTTATTACCCATCCCCAGTATTTAATGTACTGAGTTATGACCTGAACAGCATTGGATACAAGGGTGGAGGAAGCAGATTCCACAGTGACATTCAAAAGGGAATTGGATATATCATTTAGAAAAGAGCAGCATCATAGGGAAAGAATGTAGGAGCAGGTATAGGCTATTCAGCCCTTTGGGCCTGCTCTACCATAACTGATCATCTATCTTAACACCGTTATCATGTACTATCCCATTTCCCTTGATCATTAGTATTTAGAAATCTATCAATCCCTGTCTTGACTATACTCAATGACAGAGTATTCACAGCCCTTTGGGGTAGAAAATTCAAAAGATTCACCCACCTCTGAGTAAAGAAATTCATCTTTGTCTCAATGTCTTGGGAGTAATATTAAGTGAATTCCTCTTTCAAAGTGATTGTGCAGGTACAAAGAGCTGAATGTCCTCCATCTTACCTGCTGTAAGATTCTCTGAAAAATGAACTACCAAAATAAGCCTTACGTTTTTCAGAAACAAATCTCACTTGTTGAAGAACTTGTCGAATATTTGGTCAGATAATTTGCGTAATTTCATTTAATTGAGTAAAGTGTAGATCATCTTTATTCTTTTCCACATTCAGCCAGATCTCCTGAACTTCAAGAAGGGCTGGATGTCCATTCTCGATGATCGTGGTGAGGTGAGTGTCTACCTACAAAGTTGTACTGTGGAATTTTTCACAGAAGAATTAATTGTCGTTATATCTTTGTCAATTAGTCTAATTAGTAGATTAGCTAATCTACTACCGGCATTTTCAATCATTTTATGAATGCCCTAATAGCCTTTTTCTCAGTTGTTAACATAGATTTGATAGGGTCCTGGGGAGTGTTGTCAAATAGAAAGACCTAGAGGTTCAGATACATAGTTCTTTGAAAGTGGCATCACAGGTAGACAGGGTGGTAAAGAAGGTGTTTGGCATGTTTGTCTTCGTTTCTCGGACCATTGACTATAGGAGTTGAGACATCATGTTGAAGTTGTACAGGACATTGGTGAGGACACTTTTGGAGTACTGTGTACAGTTCTGGTTACCCTGCTACAGGAAGGAAGGATATTATTAAATTGGAGAGGGTGCAGAAAAGATTTGCAGGAATGTTACCAGAACTGGAGGGTTTGAGTTACAAGGAGAGGCTGGATAGACTGGAACTTTTTTCACTGGAGCATAGGAGGTCGAGAGGTGGCCCTGTAGCGGTTTATAAAATCATGAGGGGCATAGATAAGGTAATTGGCAGAGGTCTAGCATAGGGGATTTTAAAACTGAAGGGCATATTTTTAAGGTGAGAGGAGAAAGATTTAAAAGGGACCTGAGGGGCAACTTTTTCACACAGAGGGTGTTCGCATGTGGAATGAACTGCCAGAGGAAGTGGTAGATGCAGGTACAGTTACAATATTTGAACAGATACATGAAAAGGAAAGGTTTAAAGAAATATTGGCCAATTGCAGGCAAATGGGATGAATTTTGTTTGGGAAACTTGGTCGGCATGAACGCGTTGGACCGAAGGGTCTGTTTCCGCACTCTATGAATCTATGACTTTATGACTCCATGACTGTATGAATCCGTGACTAGATTTGCTTTGAAAGTGGCCTTTGACCGCAATCTTTCCCAAATATGGATAATGATTTGGATTTCTCTCAGATTCTGTTCTGGTCCATAGATTTTTGAAGGTGGCAGGATAGGATAAGAAGGCAGTTTAAAAGGCATGAGTTATTTTAGTTAAATAATCATTTGATAGCGACGGACTTGAGTATTGCTGAAAAAAGAAACATTTCGTCTCAGCTTTTTGTCTTGTAATCATCAGGACTTTTTATTCATTTGCGGGATGTGGGCATCGCTGGTTAGGCCAACATTTATTGTCCATCCCCAATTGCCCAAGTGGCAGTTAAGAGTCAACCACATTTTTGTGGGTGTAGAATCACATGTAGGCCAGACCAGGTGAGGACAACAATTTCCTTCCCTAAAGGACATTAGTAAACCAGATGGGTTTTTCTGGACAATTGGCAATGGTTTCATGATCATCATTAGACTCTTAATTTGCAAGAATATCAATGCAAAGGAGAACAGCAATTTTATACTGTATGAGAAGAGCATACTGATAACTTGGCAAGTGGACTCTGAGTGATATTGCCATGGCAGTAGCTGGGTGATGACTGACAGTTAACTGCCAAATTTTGTTTAAGGTTAAACCAGGCAGTCTGACTTTGATTGGTCATGGCATTGCCCTGAAGAATGACACAAAGAATGACTCTTCCTTATTTTCTTAAGTTGAAACCGGCACAATGTCTATACATGCTCCTTTTATCTACAACATGTAACTCTAGGCTCTCAGCAATCTGGTTGACTTTTAACTGTTCTCTGAGAAGCTCTAATAAGCATTTAGTTCAAGAGTAATTAGGGATAGGCAACAAATGTTGAGCCCACATCTAAATAATAAAGGGAAACAATTAATCGCTCTTTCAAAGAGCTGGTACATGTGTATGCTTAAGCCTAAATAAGCCTGTTCTGGCTGTTAGAATTCAAGCACCTGAATTCTTTTGTCAAAATGTGATCAGGTGGTTCTGCGAGCAGACCTTCAAAAGAATGGGAAGCCATTCATTGTACAGTTAGTAAAGAGCATGGTCAGTGTGAATGAGACTGCAGCAAAGTGAGACAAAGGCTGAGTGAGTCACTGACTATATCGTTAGAAATTTGGCTCAAAGTGGAAATTTGGTGCAAAGGGAGTCAGAGGTGCTTTAATTAGGATTTACTGCAAGAAGTAAATTCTCCAGAATGAGACGTGAGTGGGAGAGAATAAAAGGCACTGATTGAGAGACCGGTCTGTCATCAGACCAGCAGCGGAGTGACATCATGAACCAGTGTGAATAGACGGCAGGGAAAGAAACTGATTGGTGAGTAGGGTTGGTGAATATTTCTAGTTTTTAAAGTAAAAGTTACGTCCTCAGGTTGTGTTTAGGCCTCAAGTGTTTTCTTCTCTCTTAAAAATATTTGCTTAAGTATAATATTGTTAATGGTGAGCGTTTTTCTTTTCAATTTACAATATTGTTACGTGAAATGTAAGTATCAGGGAATCTCGAGTAATTAATTTATAACTTAAATTCAATAGTAATGGTAGTACTGGTGATGTATTGCTGCTGCATCACGTGGAAGCTGCTGGACACCAATGTGATCCAGTGCGAACACACCCGTAATGTTTGCAGCTCGAGGAATTTCGGATCCAAGTTGAGGACTTAGAGACCAGATTGCAGGCATTGCTGCACGTTGAGGAAAGGAAAAGGTACCTGGACACTTTGTTCCAGAGGGTGATAACACCCCTCAGAATAGGTAATTGATTGTAGGTGAGGCAAGTATGAGGACCCATGGGGCTACCATTCAGGAGCCTTGACCCTTGCAATTGCCCAGCGTTAGTGAGGTTCTTCTAAACTGTGCAGAAAAGAGTGCAGGGACAATGAGCAAACTGACAATGGCACTCTGGTACAGGGAGCCATTGAAATGGGGGAAGGAAATGGGACTGTAGTAGCAGTTGGGGGCACTATAATTGCAGTGATAAGTACTATTTCAGCAGCTTTGAATGGGAACCCTGAATGCTGTGTCACCTGCCAAGTGCCAGAGTTAAAGGCGAGAGAGGAACTTGGAGAGAGAGGGGAGAGACACAGTAGTCTACATCAGTAGCAATGACATTGTTTCCTGGAACACTTATGTTGGGAATCCAAACAGGGATCAGGCAATCTTGGATCTGTTGATGTGTGATGAGTCAGGATTAATAAATGATGTCAGAGGAAAAGATTCCTAAGGAAACAATGATCATGACATGGTAGGATTTAGCAGAGGGAGGAAATCCTTCTAAGCTTAAATAAGGGCAATTGCAAAGGAACGAGGGCGAAGCTGGTTGGGTTATAACGGGGAAGGAGGGCAGCAGCAAGGACAGTTGAGGAACAATGGCACATGTTTCAGAAAATAGTTCATGACTTACAGTAAAGACGTTTCCCGGTGAGGAAGACGGATTCTAGGATGGGGATAAGAGGCTGAGGGGTGGTCTTATAGAGGTTTATAAAATTATAGGAGCATGAATAGGTTGAATAGCCAAGGTCTTTTTCCCAGGGTAGGGGAGTCAAAACTAGAGGGCATAGGTTTAAGAGGGGAAAGATTTAAAAAGAACAAGGGTAACTTTTTCATGCAGAGGGCAGTGCATCTATGGAACAAGCTGCCAGAGGAAATGGTGGAGGCGGGTACAGTTACAGCATTTAAAAGGTACCTGGATGGATATATGAAAAGAAAGGGTTTAGAGGGATATGGGCCAAATGCTGCAAATGGAACTAGATTAATTTAGGATGTCTGGTCGGCATGGACGAGTTGGACCGAAGGGTCTGTTTGCATGTTGTATGACTGTATGAGTTTATTAAAGCATACAAGAGTATTAGTGGACTTGATAGGGTAGATGGAGAAAGGCTGTTTTCAGTAGTGGGAGAGTCTAGGAGCAGAGGGTATAACCTCAGAATAAGTGATCACCCATTTAAGGCACAGATGGGGAGAAATTTCCAATTTGTGAATCTGTGGAATTCTTTAGCACAGAGGGCTATCGGGGCTGGATCATAAAGTATATTCAAGACTGAGATAGACAGATTTGTAATCAGTAAGAACATCAAGGGTTATGAGGAAAAGGCAGGAAAATGGAGTTGATCAGCCATGGTCTCATTGAACAATGGAGTAAATTCAATGAGATAAATGGCCTCTTTCTGCTCCTACATCTTATGGTTTTATGATGGGTTGAATGGTCTCCTTTATGATGCTATAATTCAACAATTGCCAAAATGGAACAGTCTGGAGTCTTGTCCATGAACATGTGAGTTAACTGCATTAAAAAAATCATAATTCAAGATCCTGCAGCTACCTGAGTCTTGCCATGATCACTTTCCCTTTTTGCTCCAACAGCTGAAGCTCAGACCTTCCAGGAGTGGTGTGTATTGTGTGCAGCTCTGCTGTTAACTGCGTAAATGCCAGGGGCTGATACAGGGCCAGATGTTTTCTTACTGAGCCGCCGTCCTCAGGCATCAAATGATCTGATTGATTGATTATTTCTTTTTTTAGTGGAAGAAACACTGGTTTGTTCTGACAGACTCCAGCCTGAGATATTACAGAGACTGCACAGCAGAGGAGGTAAGAGTTTTGACTAGCTGTGAGTTGCACCCCACCCTAGAACCCAGTGCTAATTCATACTTTTAAAAAAGAGAAGGTTAGGGTTCATAAGGAAGGGCATGTTGAGTAGAAATGATCATGGCTCAGCCTGTGTAGGCCTTTAGTGGGTGAAATACTTTGCAGGTTATTTTGGTTACATGATATAAACTGGAGCTAAACACGTATCCCAGAATGAAAATCTATTTTTAGCAGCCAATTTTGGTTCTAATCACCGTAATTAGAAAAAGACAAATCCTCTGCTCATGAAGATAATTCGCAAGAAATATCAAAGTAAAGAGAAAATAGTATTTATACTGAGACGAGAGTGCTGAGTGGTTGGGTGTTTGAAAGTCTTGTTTTCGTAGTCTTGGTCCTAAATACTATCATTTGAATTGAAGGGATGAAACAAAACACAGGCACAATTAGCACCAGGTGAACAGTAAAAGGTCATATACCATTAAGGGCCCCTCAGAATCCAATGCAGTGACTGGTTTCCTCTGAATCAGTTGAATAGTTTTTTGGACTGGTTTCCTCTCATTCAGCTTCAGATCAGTGCAAAAGATAAGTCTGAAACACTCGCAGCAATTTTCAGCCATAAGTGCCGAGTGGATGATCCATCTCAGCCTCCTCATTTGGTCCCCAGCAATACAGCTACCAGTCTTCAGCCAGTTCAATTCATTCCACATGGTATCAAGAAATGGTTGGAGATACTGGATACTGCAAAGACTATAAGCCCTGACAACATTCCAGCAATAATACGGAAGACTTGTGCTCCAGAACTTGCTGCTCCCCTAGCCAAGCTCTTCCAGTACATTTACAACTCTTGACATCTATCCAACAATGTGGAAAATTTCCCAAATATGTCCTGTACATAAAAAGCAGGACAGATTCAACCCAACCAATTACTGCCCCAACAGTCTATTCTTGATCATCAGTAAGGTAATGGAAGGTATCATTGATAGTGCTATCAAGTAGCATCTGCTCAGTGGCGTCCAGTTTTGGTTCCACCAGGGCCACTCAACTTTTGACCTCAATACAGCCTTGGTTCAAACATGAACAAAAGAGCTGAATTCCAGAGGTGAGGTGAAAGTGACAGCCCTTGACATCAAGGCTGCATTTGGCCAATTGTGGCAAATTGTAGCAAAACTGGAATCAGTGGGTATCAGGGGGCAAACTCTCTGCTGATTGGAGTCAAGATAGTCATGGTTGTTGGAGGTCAGTCATCTCAGCTCTAGGACATCTCTACAGGAGTTCCTCAGGGTAGTGTCCTCGGCCCAACCAACTTCAGCTGCTTCATCAATGACCCTCTCCCCCATCATAAGGTCACCATTCGTGACTCCTCAGATACTGAAACAGTCCATGTTCCAATGCAACAGGATCTGGACAATATCCAGGCTTGGGCTGACAAGTGGCAAGTAACATTGGTGCCTTACAAATGCTAAGTTATGACCATCACCAATGAGAGAACATATAACCACTGCCCCTTGATATTCAATGGTCTTACTATCACCAAATCCCCGACTATCAACATCTTAGGGGTTATTATTGATCAGAATCTCAACTGGACTCACCGTATAAACGCAGTGGTTACAAGAGCAGGTCAGGGGCTTGGAATACTGCAGCGAGTAACTCACTTCCTGACTCTCCAAAACCTGTCTATCATCTGCAAGGCAAAGTCAAGAATGTGACAGAATACTCCCCACTTGCCTGGATGAGTGCAGCCCCAACAACACTCAAGAAGCTTGACACCATCCAGGACAAAGCAGCCCGCTTGATTGGCACTACATCCACAAGCATCCACTCCCTGCACCACCAATGCTCAGTAGCAGCAGTGTGTACTATCTACAAGATGCACTGCAGAAATTCACCAAAGATCCTCAGACAGTACCTTCCAAACCCATGACACCTCCATATAGGAGGATAAGGGCAGCATAGAAAGCTATGCTGATAGAGTTTATTGAGGGAGGAAAAGGAACTTCACATGGGGCTGAATGACCTGTTTCTTTGCTGCATCTTCAATTTAATTGTGTTTACCAAATGCCACCTCAGTTTAGCTGGCATCTGAAACCTGCATCTTGAAGAGAGGAGGATCGTGTGTGTTCACATTGTTTTGTGGACCTGTAGCCAACTGGCTGTTTCCAAATGGCACTGGCTTCCAGTGCTATTCTACCAGACTGTGGAGTTTAGCTTTAATCAAATTTTTCTTCTTGTCTTCTCAGGCCAATAATCTGGATGGAGAGATTGACTTACGAAGCTGCAGCAATGTGACCGAGTATCAGGTTCAACGGAACTATGGGTTCCAGATCCATGTGAGCATGCTCTTCTATAATTCTCAATGCATGCTTGGTGTTTTCCACAATCCAGTTTAACCTGAAGCCTGAGATCCCGACTTGGAAATTTTACAGAACTCAATGGCTTCCTCCACAATTCCTCAGCATTTTGGTGGCTGATCCAAGGAAATCCTGGGTCATGTTGATTTGCAATGCTGCAGTTTACGTAACAGCAAAGCACCAATTGATTCGCAGGAAGTATATCTCACTTACATAGCAGAGGGCTGCCAATTCATGAGCCAGTTTTACTGGTCTCTCCTTTTTCTGAACTTGTTCTTGCTTGATGCCAGAACCCAAGTGAATTTTAAAAACAACCGGTAGAATTAGAGACTTGATCCAGGGTTTGGATTCAGTGCTATTCCTCTGACTTCTAACTCTTTAGATCTTCATTTTCTCTGTTTGATTACAATGCCAGTTTCTGTCATATTGTTTTAAGACTTTAAAAGACCATTCTATGCCCCTGCTTCACCCACCTCTCCAGGCAGTGTCAATTTGAGTTTTTCCGGTCTGTTCACAATATTGAAACCGCATCCCCCCCGCCCACCGCCGCCAGCCATGAATGCCCATCTTCTCCTGTATTATTGATATTGTGAGGCCCATTAACCTTGCAAGACTTCACAGCTGTCTTGGCCACATATCATCCTGAGTTGGAGGACACCCGTGGTGGGTGAGTCAAAAGGTAACGTGGTCTCCGGAAGACTTCAGAAAAGGTGCCAAGGAAAATTGCCAGAACAGCACCAGGGATAAGCGATTTCAGTTTTCAGTAATTGAAGGGCAGCAATTTGCAGGGCTTTGAGGGGGAGAGAGGGGAATGGGACTTATTAGAAAGCTCTTTCAAACAGTAGACACAGGCACGGTGAATGGCCCTGAATTGTTCTATTTAGGATATCTGGTCGGCATGGACAAGTTGGACAGAAGGGTCTGTTTCTGTGCTGTATGACTCTATGACATTTCCATTTAAATAGGTGACCTGTTATTTTTAAACTGTGTACACTAGTTCCAGTCTCTCCCACAAAGGGAAATGTTCTCTCAGCATCTACTTTATCAAGTTCCCTCAGGACCTTATGTTTAGTCTGATAAGCAATGTATTGCCTGAACCTTTCAAAAGGGGTCGGATATGTATTTGCAATTCCTGCTGACCATTAACCTTCCCCCACTGACCATTAATCTGCCCCACTGACCATTAACCTGCCCTGTCTGACCATCAACCCTCAACAAGTAACCATCAGCCTGCTCTCATTGACCATCAACCAGCCTAGAGTGATTGTCCACAAATTAGCATAAAAAACAGGTTGAATTTTGCCAGATTAACAGGGATTTAGTAAGATGTCCTATTGGCTGTTGTTTGAAATAGCATCGCTAAGTTTTAACAAAGGGGGTTGAATATAAAAATAGGCAAGTCCTGAAGTAGTATTGTGTGCAGTTTTATTGCATTGCTTGAGAAGGGATATACATATCTTGGCAGCAGTTCAGAAAGGGTTTGGAATGAAGGCATTGGCTATCTAGAAAGTTTGAACAGAGTGGGCCTATACAAATTGGAGTGGTAATCCTTATAAAACACAGAAGATACTGTGGGGTCGTTCATAGGTAGATGCTTAAAGAACATTTTACTTTGTGGTGAAACTAGAACTAAGGGACATAGTTTAAAATTAAGGGTCTCCACTTAAGAGGGAGATGAGGAATTTCTGCTTTCATGGGCTCATTTTCCTTAGGATTCTTTTCCCTAGTGAAGAGTAGAGGCTGAGTCATTGAATATATGTCACGGTTGAGTTATACAAGGTTTTGATTGACAAGGTAACCAAGGGTTATCGGGGAGGGGAAGGAAAGTAGATTTAAGGCCACGTGCATATCAACCATAATGTTATTGAAGTGAGCTTGAAGGGCTGAATGGCCTACTCCAGCTCCTACATGTTATAGTCTTACAGTTGTTATGATGATGTTATGGGGCACAGCACAATAGAGAGGTATTCAGCTCATTATGTCCCTTCTGTCTCTTTTATCGAGCAATCTAATTAGTACTTGACCCCACCGCCAACCCTAAAAATCATCCTCATTAAGGCTGGATCTAATAACCTTAAGTGCCCTTGTCGCACCGTGATAGTGTTCATACCGCTAAGCCAGGAGACCTGGGTTCAAGTCCCCCCTGCTCCAGGTGTGTGTAATAACATTTCTGAAGAGGTTGATTTGGGACTGGGGTCGGGATGGAGAAATCCCCACATATGGGACAAGTTCAAGTCCCACACAATCCAAATGAATTTCTGAACAGGTTGATGTAAAAAAAATTCTTCATAGCCTTTTAAAATTTCTAAAGAAATTTGTATCCATCAACTAGATCTTAACCAATGCCTCTGTGTGAACGGATTTTTTTCTCATTTGCCTTCAACTCTCCTGGTCAATTATTTTTAAATCTATGACTCTTCTGGTTATTGACCAATTACTAGAGTAAATAATTACTCCATACTTTCTCAATTTAAACCTCTCATGGATTTGAAAACTTCTAATAGGTCACTCCTAAATATTCTCAAATCTTAAAGACCGATTCCAAATTCTCCAATCTCACTACTTAAGGAGGATTCCATTTCCCAGGTACCATCCTAGAAAATTTCTTCTGTAGTCCCTCCAGTGTCTTGATGTCCTGCTGAGGCCTAATCAACAGCTGCCTCCATTTACAAAGCCGAGTAACCCATGCATTTTCTAAATCAAAATGGAAAGCTGTGGTGCTGGCAGTGTCCCCCGAGAACCTCCCTGTGTAGTTTTCTTCTATCAGGAAAATATCTGTTCACTGTCAATCCTAGCCCCCTAAACTAAGCCAACTACATCTCTGCCATTGTCTCCTTAACCTCACCTTCTTCCTTCTTTCAGACAAAAGAGTCCATTTATACCCTTTCAGCAATGACATCTGGGATTCGGAGGAACTGGATCGAGGCACTTCGAACACACGTTCGTCCAACTACTGTACCTGACGTGACAAAGTAAGCTGTAGAGTACATGCCAGTGCCCATCTGGTCTCTGCTGGTGTTTCTGCTCCATATGAGCCTTCTCCCCCTTTACTTCATCTCAGCTGATCAACATTGTATTTCTTTCTCCGTTGTGCACTTTCCTACCTCACTATTGGCATTGTGTGTCCCGACATCATTACGACTGCTAGTGGTTCAACTAGGTGGCTCCTCAATACCTTTTCAGAGTGGCCAATAAATGCCAACCACTAATGTCCACTAATGTGAACTAATAGGACATAGAACAGTACAGGCCCTTCAGCCCACGATGTTGTGCCGAACTGTTATCCTACTCTAAGATCAAGCTACCCTGCATACCCTACATTTTACTATTCATGTGCCTATCCAAGAGTTGCTTAAATGTCCCTAATGTATCTGACTCTACAACCACTGCCGGCAGTGCATTCCACACACCCACCACTCTCCAATCACCACTCAACTAATAAATAACATGAACTACTCCTTTAAAATACATCCACACTATTCACCTATATTACACTGTATGGGAGCAAGCTGCACATTCCTTCCACTCTCTGGCTAAAGAATCCTCTTCTGAAAAACCCATTGCTTTTATTAGTCACTATTTTGGTTCTGATATAATATGTTTCCATATATTTCTGTGCTGAGCATTAAAGGCGCATTGAAAGCCTTAGACTGCTCCCTGAAGGTGTACAACACAGACCTCACCATCACAGCCAAGCACTGTCCCCACCTTAATCACTGGCCTATCACATTGCCAATTAGGTACAGGGTGGGAGTCACAGTCTAGAATGTTTCCTTCTCCACTCTCTGTGCACAAGTCACTGAGAACAGTGACCAACAAAGAGAAAGAAATGTGTGAGGAATATGAAGTGTAATAAGGGGAGGGAGTTGGATTGGTAAGGAGAGTGGGGTGGGGCAAGGGGATAAATTGAGAGGGTAAAGGAAGGGATCGGGACGGAGGTAAGGGGAGGGAGTTGAATGGGGAAGGGGTGGGAATGGCGTAAAGGGGGGTAGGGGGATAATTCATGGGTAAGGGAGTGGCGGGGGGAGGTGAAGGAATATGGGGTAAATGGAGAGAGGGTTGGAAGTAAGGGAAGGGTGTGAGGGGGCAAAGGGAAGTGTTGAAGATGAGGGGTATAAGGGAGATGGGGAATGAGGGGAGGGAGTGGGTTCTGTAGAATTCTGAATGAAATGTTTTGAAGTTTGGATCTCGTTTGTGAATGTAAATGAAGTCCCTCAGAAATACAGATTTCGGTAATGAATTGATTTAACTGTTGATAAGATATGAAAATGCGCCTTATTGGTTTCACTAAAAAGTTTTCTACTGTCTCTCTGTTTTTCCTGCTTCCACTTGCTGTTACTCAGGAGGAACACTTGGATGAAAACACCGCCTCCTAAATCCAGGTTAGAGTCCATGACAGAGTTTATTTTAATTAACAGCCTTCCCGCCTTGCCCTCCTCTCCCACTGCCTTCCCTGGATAAATTCTCTCAGTTCGGAGGGCAGAGCATTGAAACATCAGGAGTTGTAACTTTGAACAATGTTGTTAGTGCTTTTCACTCAGCAATTCCTCAAGGATTTTTCCAAAGGACACTACTAATTTCCTTTGCGCTATCATTCAGGCAACAGAGGAATATCCAGAAATTGATTGGGAGTAGAGATTTCTAGAGCTTCTTTACCTTTTTTAAAACCAGTATTATTTGCATAGGACACGACCAGAACTGAGCATGTTGGCTTATTAGCAGGGATCCAGAGGCCAGGCCTGATAGAATGGATTAGATTAGAAAGATTTAGGTTTATGGCACGGCTTTAATGACTTTGAATACCCCAAAGTGATGTTCAGCCAAAGATATGCTTTTAAAGTTTAGTTGCTGTTGCAAAGTAAGAAAAGCAGCAGTGAAAATGCACACAGCATGATCCAACAAATAGTAACGTGAGAATTCCAGGGTAATCTGTTTCTGTTAGTAATGTTAGTTGATGGACAAATGTCAGATAGGACACCAGTTGGAACTCTACTGCTCTACTTTCAATAATGCAACCATGGCTTTACACACGCCTGGGGACCTACAGGGCATTGGCATAACATCTCACTCAAAAGACAGCATCTTGAACAGTACAGCACTCCCTTAGTACTGCACTCTGTGTGTGTCAGTACAGATTTTGTGCAGAAGTGGGTTTTGAGCCCACAACCAACTGAAAATGTTTCCCAGAGCTGCCTATAAGTGGTTTGCCTATTAGGTTTGCTGAAGCATAAGTTGTGATGGGGTAGTAGTATGCTTCCTGGAATTCAGTAACAGTTTGTGTGAAGAATTGTAGATGTATTTGTATTAATCCTCTTAGCCATGTATAGATTAGAATTTCTATCTTCCGGGATGAGTGCAACTCCAATAACATTCTCCTGGATGGTGTCAAGCTTTTTTAAAAGCAGCCCACTTGATTAGCACCACATCCATCACCTTCAACGTTCACTGCCTTGAAATCGCCAATGTACAGTAGCAGTAGTATGTACCATCCACAAGATATACTGCAGCAAATCACCGAGGCTCCTTTGACAGCACCTTCTAGACACACAACAACCTCTACCATCCAGAGGGACAAGGACAGCAGGTACGTGGGACACTACCATCTGCAAATTCTGTTCAAGTCACACACCATCCTGACTCGGAAATAGATCACCATTCCTTCAGTGTCACCAAGTCAAAGTTATGGAACTCCCTCCCTGACAGCCCCTTGGGTGCATGTACACCCTGTGGACTGCAGTGGTTCAAGAGGTAGCTCCCTCTCTCCAGGACAGATGGGGAAGGTGAATAAATTCTGGCCCAGCTGGCCAAGCCCATGAACAAATAAAACAGTCCAAAAGTTCACAATTTTAACTCTGCCATGACTGATATTATGCTATTGCAGCTCTGTTTTTTAATGACAAAAAGTGAATATCCTGTCAGAGTATTTTTTAAACAAGTGTTATTGTGAAACTAACCATACCGAAAATTTAGAGGTTAGAAAAAAATCTGAAATTTGGGAAACCTGGAAAATAAGAGCAGGAGTAGGTAATTTGACCCTTAAAGCCTGCTCTGCCATTCAATATGATCATGGCTGTTCCTGCTTTCTGTTTCACTCCTTCTAGAATTCAGTGTCAAGAAATTTCTCTTCATCTCAGTCCTAAATAGCCTATCCCATATCCTTAGACTGTGACCTCTGGTTCTGGACACCCCACTCATCAGGAACATCCTTCCTGTGCTTACCCAGTCTAGTCCTGTTAGAATGTTATAGGTTTCTCTGAGATCCTCCTCATTATTCTGAACTCCAGTGAGTATAGTCCTCACTGATCCAATCTGTCTTCATACAACTATCCTGCCATCTCAGGAATCACCTTTGTTGCACTCCCATCTTAGCCAATAGGTCCTTAAATTTTATTTGAAAAAGTGTTATTTGAAACCAAGTTTAGCTGTCAATATTTGTGAATAAAGGAGTGACACCAAGATCAACATTAAATATTGAAACAGAAACCAGTTTTATCCACAGGAAAATATCGTTAATCTTAATACAAGAAATGAATCGATAGCATTTTCATAAGTAATATTTCACCCGCAATGTCTAAACTTATACATTAACTAATATTTCGGAGATAACAAGAACTGCAGATGCTGGAGTCAGAGACAATACAGTGTGGAGCTGGAGGAACACAGCAGGCCAGGCAGCATCAGATGTGCTGACATTTGCAATCGATGAGTTGATGCACTGATGTCATGTCACAATTGGATCCCTGGGGTATCCCTCTGCAGCAGGGAATTGCTGGCAGGTCTTTTTTTTCAACTGGATTGGGAATGATTGTGCAACAAATACTAACCAATGGGTGTGTACAAAGTGAGATTTGGCCAGCAACAAGTAGCTGATTGGTTTATGGAGTGGTGACCAGTTGTCAATGACAAAAGCTATCAGCCTGCCAAAACCTGTGATTGGTGGCAGGGTAACTGAACAGATTGTGGGTGTGAGATACTGGCAGAAACCTTCGGACCTTCAGAGGGGGAGGCAGTCGGTCTGCCTGCAGTAGGGTGGGGTGGGGTAGGTATTTTCGCAAAATTTAGGAAGCATCCGGATGAGCACTTGAAATGCTAAGGCACAGTAGGCTATGGACCAAGTGCAGGTAAATGGCATTAGTGTAGCTTGGTGTTTGTTGTTCGGCATAGACATGGTTGGCCGAAGAGCCTGTTTCTATGCTGTGTGACTCTATGACTAACCCATTCCTCAAAAGCAGGATTGATGTTTCCTGAGTCGGGGGAGAGTGAGATGTCTCAGGGAGGAAATCAGTAAGTTCCTGAACAGGGAGGAAGTGAGACAATCCATAAGTCCTCCTTGGAGCAGGATGGTGACAATACATGGGTGATTCCTTCAGCTTCCTGTCATGAGGACAAGGGTGGTTCCTCCAATCAAAAACTGGAGATCGAGGGAGTCTCTATTTTTCTATTCTCAGTATTTTCACTCAAACTCTTAGCCAAGGAACTCACTCTTCTCCCTCCTCTCCTCCCCCAACCCATCACCATCCTGAAAGTGGAAGTTGTGTTTTTAGGATTTTTCACTCCTTGCAAAAAGTAACAGGATTAAAAGAGGTGTCATTTTATACATCAATGTAACTTCAGGAACTTATGATTGTGTCGGTTGTGCACACCACTTTATTCCATTCCCCTGTTTATCTTTCTAATTCTTATACTCTTCATAATCAATGTAGTGAAACAAGTGAAACACTGGTGTATTGGCGGTGTCACTGGACTACTGCCCCAGAGTTATGGATTCAAATTTATGAATTTAAATTCTATTCATGAAATCTGATACTCTCAGTAATAGTAACATATAACTATCATTAATTATTATGATAGCCCATCTGGTTCATCCTTATCCATCCTTATCTCATGGAATCGCAGAATTGTTACAATACAGAAGGGGAGAAGCCATTTGGACCATTGTGTCTGCACTGGCTTTCTAAATATTCTGGCTAGTGCCAAACTCTTACCTTTCCCCATAATACTGCACATTGTTTCTATGTAAATAGGCATATAATTCCCTTTTGAATGTCTCAATGGAAACTGTCACAACCCTTCCAGGAAGTGCATTCCAAACCCTAACTACTCACTGAATGAAAACCTTTGTTCTCACATTACATTTGCTTCTATTACAAAACAATTTAAAACTGTACCATCTGGTTCTCAGTTCTTTTATGAGCAGGAGTCTAACTGCAATTATACAAGGCATTGGTGACACCACACATCAAGTACTGTGTGTAGTTTTGGTCTCTATCCAAGGAAAAATGTACCTTTCCTTGGAGGACATTCCTAGTTCTCGTCTACTATGGAGAAATTGAGCAGTCTAGAAGAATGAGATGTAATCCTAATTGAAATGCATTAAATCCTTAAGGGATTTGGTAGGGCTTTTCTTAATTCATTCAAGGAATGTGGATATCACTGGCAAGACCAGCATTTATTGTCCATCCTTAATGCCCTTGAACTGTGTGGCTTGCTTGGCCATTTCAGAGGGCAGTTAAGCATCAACCACATGTTCTGTTTGAAATCACATGAAGACCAAACTAAGTAAGGATGCAGATTTTCTTCCTTGAAGGGTATTAGTGAACCACTTGGATATTTAGGCAATCAGCAGTGGTTATATGGTCACCATCTGCCATGTGCGATTTGAACCCAAATCCTCAGAAATCAGTCAGGAACTCTGGATTACTTGTCCAGTGACATTATCACTACCACAGCCTTCTCTAAATAGGTGGATAGTGGGATGATGCTTCCATGGCTGGGGAATCTAGAATTAGGGGTCGCAGATACAGAAGAAAACAGTGAGCTTAACTGTGTGATGAGAAATTCATTCACTGCAAGGGTTGTGAATCTTTGGAATTCTCTACCACAGATGTGGTTGTGCAGTTATCAAGTTTATTCAAATCAGAGATTAGATTTTTGGATACTGAATGGGACTAGCCAGATTGTTATTGACTCCTTTGTCTGTCCAACTGTTCTTTCTTTCTTTGGGCTCTATCCCTATCCATAATTTACTCCTACCTACCCACCCCCTGCCCCTGCCCTACCATCTGCATATAAACCAACATTTACCTAGCTATCGTCAGTTCTGAGGAAGGATCACCAGACCCGAAACGTTAACTTTGATTTCTCTTCAAAGATACTGCCAGAACTGCTAAGCTTTTCCAGCAACTTCTGTTTTTGTTTTATGTGGGATTAGAACTGGGAAGTAGAGTTCAGGTGAAAGATCCACCATGATTTCATTAAAGGGTGAAGCAGGCAGCTCTTTCATCTACTCTTAATGTTTTTGTGTTATGTTCCATATTATTTTGCCCCTCTACTTTTTAATCTCACATTTTATTGTTGCATCTGTGGTCTCAATCGGGATCCAAACCTGTTGGTAAGACATAAAACTAAGACAATTTCTGTTGTGGATTGAGTTTATTGACTACTCCAACTGCTTCTACCCCCAGGATGAGAAGTACTCAAACAATGACTAGGCACCATCTGTATCTTCTTAACCTTAAATGAAGGCACTTGACTGCATAATTAACCTGACATTAACATGTTGCCCTTCTTCTCTAACCTTCAACAACTGGAAAGAGTCTAGAAAGAGAAGAATGAGAGTTGACTTCATTGAAGCAGTCAAAATTCTTAAGTGGCTCCTCAGAATGGCTGGAAGGATGTTTCCCTTAGCTGAGGTAGGGGTCTAGAACCAGGGGACACATCTCAATATCAGAAGTAGGCCATTTAGGACAGAGAAGAGAGGGAATTTCCCCACTCTGAGGTTGGTGAATCTTGAAAATTCTCTACTCCGGAGGACTTTGTAGACTTGGTCATTAAGTTTATTGATGAGGGTAGAGCAGTGGATGTTGCTTACATAGATTTTACTAAAACATTTGACAAGGTTCCTCACGATCTCTGGTCCAAAGGATTAAGAGACATGGGGTACACAGTGAGTTGGTAAGTTGAATGCAAAGTTAATTTGGTCATAAAAGACAGAGGGTATTTGTGGAGCGGACCAGTAGTGTTCTGCAAAGATCAGTGCTGGGACTCCTGCTATTTGTTTTATATATATTTGTTTTATATATATTATAAGTGATGTGGATGAAAATGTAGGTGGTCTGATTAGTAAGTTTGCAGATAACATGACAATTGGTGTAGCTGTGGATAGTGAGGAAGGTTGTCAAAGGACGCAGTAGGATATAGATCAGCCAGAAAGTTGGGCAGAGAAATGGCAGATGGAATTTAATCCAGACAAGTGTGGAGCAATGCCTCTTGGGAGGCCAAATGCAATTGGGAAGTGTACTGTAATGGAGCAATGCCTCTTGGGAGGCCAAATGCAATTGGGAAGTGTACTGTAATGGAGCATTGATATACAGAGGGATCTTGGGGTGCAAATCCATAATTCCTTGAAAGTGTCAACTCAAGTGGATAAGGTGCTAAAGAAAACTTATGGCATGCTCACCTTCATCGGTTGGGGCATTGAGTACAGAAGTTGGCAAGTCATGCTGTAACTGTATAAATCTTGTTACACTTCATTTGGAATATTGTGTGCAGTTCTGGTCACCACACTACAGAAAGAATGTGGAAGCTTTAGAAAGGGTGCAAAAGAGTTTCACCAGGATGTTGTATGGATTAGAGTGTATTAGCTATAAGAAAAGGTTAGACAAACTTGGATTGTTTTTGCTAGAGCATTGAAAGCTAAGAGGCAACCTGAAAGAAGTACATAAAATTATGAGAGGCATGGATAGGGTGGATAGTTGGAGTCTTCTTCCCAAGGTGGAAATGTTAAACACCAGGGGACATACTTAGGTTTAAGATGAGAGGGAGAAAGTTTAAATGAAATGTGCAAAGCAAGTTTTTTTTACACACCAGGTGGTAAGTGCCTGGAAGGTGTTGATGGAATGGTGGTAGAAGCAGATATGATAGTAACATTTAAGAGGCATTTAGACAGAATACATGAACAGGCAAGGAAGAGAGGGATTCAGACCGTGTGCAAGAAGTTGGGATTATTTTAGAATGGCATCATTGGTTGGTAGAGACATGGTGGGCCAAAGGATGTGTTCCTGTACTGCATGTTCTGTATTCAAATCAGAGATTGATAGTTTTCTAGATCATGAAAGAATGCATGCCTAAATGGTGAAAGAGGCAGTTCAACTGAAGCAGTCAAAAGGAAGTTACGACTGATCTGAAATGGAAGAATGTGCAGGGTAACGAGGAGAAGATAGGAGAATGGCACTAAATGAATTGGTGGTGCAAACATGGGCTGAACAGCTTGCTCCACAGTAACAGTTCTGAGATTCTGTGATATTAAGGACTGTGGGGATAATACAGGAAATTGATGTTGAGGTAGAAGATCAACAATCATGTAGCTAAAGGCAGAACAAGCTCCAGTGGTTCCCAGCATCACCAATAACAGTCTTAAGCCAATTCAATTTAATCATCATGATATCAAGAAATGGTTGGAGGCACTAGATAATGCAACGGCTATGATCCTCAAAACATTCTGGCAATTGTACTGAAAACTTCTGCCCTTGAACTTCTTACACCCATAGCCAAGTTGTTCCTGCAGCTACATCACTGGCATCTACCTGGGAATGTGAAAAATTATCCAGGTATGTACTATATACACAAAGTAGGACAAAACCAACAGGCCAACTACCACCCTATCAGTCTACTCTCAATCATCGGTCAAGTGATGTAACGGGTTATCAATAGTGCTATCAAGCAGCACTTGCTTAGCAATAACCTGCTCACTGACGTTGAATTCCAGAAGTAAGGTGAGAGTGACAGCCCTTGGCATGAAGGCTGCATTCGACCGAGTACGGCGTCAAGGAGCCCTAGCGAAACTGGAATCAGGGGGAAAGCTTTCCACTGATTGGAGTTGTACCTGGCACATCAGAATATGGCTGTGGTTGTTAGAGGTCAGTCATCTCAGCTCCAGGGTATCTCTGCAGGAGTTCTTGGGGCAGTGTTCTAGGCCCGACAATCTTTAGCTGCTTCATTATTGACATTCCTGCCGTCATAAGGTCAGAAGTAAGGTATTCACCAATGATTGCACAATGTTCCACAAGGGAGAATGCACCTTTTAATGTTGATTGGCAGTTAACAGCTTGGCTTTGTTTATATTTTAAACTAGATAGATTGATTTTCCTTGGTCAGGGCATTGCCCTGAGAAATGAATCAGCGAATGGCTGTCATCTATTTTGCTGATCTGAAATAGGCACAGTCTGTGTCCTTTCTGTCTGCAAAGAACCAGGGCCCTGTGTATTAATATATCCAGATATCATGTGTGCCACACTGCGAGTCTGATAATCCTAAATTAGGTGTTAAATAATTGCACATTCAGGACTTTCCAGCAAATGTCGTCCAATTGAAGCATCACATCTAATGTTAGACACTGTGTCACAAGTTTTAAAAGCGTAAGCTGATTAGGACCAGTGTGAAAAAGGTGTCTGCCTATCACAAATGAGTGGTGTGAATTTCAATATGAATTTCAGTACCAGTGTGATATAGGGAATATAGGGAATACATCCCAAAGAATGGTGGAGCATGTCCCTTAGCTGTTCACAATAAGCAAGGTACTGACCGTACCCAATCAGCCTGATATAAAATCTTCCTGCTTGTATTTAAATCTGCCCATCTTGTGGCCTGCCCCTACCTATTTCTGTAGCCTTCTCCAGCCCAGCAACGCTCAAGTTATGTCCCTGATGTATTGCTGATTTTTATCGCTCCACAACTGGCACTCGAACTTTAGCTAACATGACGTTGTAGAGGGAATTTGTTCTCTGAACCTTGCCACCTCCCTCTTCTTCAAGATGCTCCTTAAAATCTATCTCCTTCATCAAGCAATTTTCATCTGCTGTGAAATCTCGTTATATAGCTTGATATCAAGTTGTGTTTGATCTACACTGCTGTAAAGCTCCTTGAGATATTTTATTATTTCAACAATGCTTTATAAATGTCAATTGTTGTGTTCAGATGATGGTGACTCGTTTCAATAATCTCTTTTTCTGTATTCTAGTTTAACAGAGAGTAACAAGGAAAATACTTTCCGTGACACTATAGCACGAAGGAATGCAGCAAGACAGGAAGCAGCGATCACAGCTGACAAGACCCGGCTGGAGGTCCCGCGGAGCGCCCGCAGGCCAGAGGGCCATGAGCAGCTCCTGCCACCAGTGGAGAGTGTGGAGCTGGAGCCCGTGCAATCACCTGCCAAGGCAGAGGAGCTGACCCGTGAACAGGCCCAAAGGATCGCTGAACGTAGCAGGTGGTTCGAGTCCACAAACCTGAATGACTGCCCAAGGAAGGGGACAGAATGGAACTCCCCACTTGTCCAAATCTCTGAGGCCCTCAACAAGGACATTGAGGTGAAATGGCAGGAGCTCGAACGTATTCCGTTACGGGATCATAAGCAGGTCCCTATCATGCCCTTGCAATCTCCCAATCCTGGTGTCAATGACAATGGGGTCACCGAGCGACTGAAGAAGGAGGTAATGATTGAAATTGCATGGTGGGACCAGCATAGAGTTGATAGCACATGAACCAAGCCATTCAGCCCATCTTGTTTGTGCAGCAGACTACAATCTTCCACTCTTTACCATCACAACCTTTCAGTGCATCCTTCCATTCCTCTCTCCCTTTGTTATCTAACTTTCACTTAAACATATCAATGCTTATCACCTCAACCACTGCATAGGACCAAATCGCAAATTCAGACTACTAACTGAGAATTTAGGCTAACCAAAGATCCCGGCATGTTTTTGATGTTTTTTGTCAGCTAGAACTGTGTGGTAGATGCAGCACAAAAGTCTTCTCATGTTAGAAGACAGCAAGCACGAGTTCTGACTGTGAGCAAGTATCATTCTTGTTATAAGGGAAGACCATATCCATGCCCTATATACCTCACAGCCTGACTGTGTTCTCATCTTGTTATCCCTGGCAAGTTTCAGAAGGCCCAGATATCCCATACATTAACTGGTAGAGTCCTTGAATCAGATGTCTGCCCCAGATACAGAACTGAAAGGCCACTTTTCAAACTCACAAATGACATTCTACATGACTTTAACAAAACTACATTCTCCCCCGCAATCCCCCATCTTGACCTTTGACATGGTGGAGAACACCACTCTCCTCCAATGCCTTGTGGATGGGACTGTAATATCTTCTCTTCCTACTTCCGCACCAGTCTTCCATCCCCCAGCCCCAAGCTGCCCCGCAGTCATATCATCCAAGAGCACAGTGGATTGCCTCCGGTACTGCTAAATTATCAGGGTGCTTATCTGATCCTGAATCAGTGCAGAAATTTCTTCCAGTTAAATATTGAGAAGACCAAAGCCGTTTTTGGTTCTTGCTGCGAGCTATTTTTCCTTAGCTTCCGGCTTCATCCCATCCTGTCAGCTGTCCAAAATTATGCCAATCTGTTGGCAGCCTTTGAGTAGCATTTGATCCCAAAATGATCTTCTTACCTTACGTCTGTGAGGTCACTCAGGCCACCTATTTCCATAACATCACCTGACTTCATTCCTGCCTTAGCTTATCCACTGCTGAAGACCTCACCCATGCCCGCATTACCTCCACACTTGACTTTGCTATTGCACCCTGGCTGAACTCCATCAAGCCACCCTCTATCTTTATCTCATCCAAAACTCTGCTGGCCTTGTCGTAACTCATAGGAAGTCCTGTTCCCCTATCAGCCTTTGCTTGCCAGTCAAAGCACTGTCTCAGCTTTAACACTTTTATCCTCATTTTCAAATTGCTCTATGGCCTCAGTCCTCCTTACCTTTGCAATTCCAACCCACAACTCTTGAGATCCCTGTGCCACTCTAATTCTGGCTTTATGAGCATCGCTAATTTTAATCGTTCCACGTTCGCCTTCACTTGCCCAGACCCTGAGCTCTGGAATTTGCTCCAGTGACCTTTCCATCTTTCTGCCTCAGTTTCCCATTAAATTTACCTTTTTGAACAAGTTTTATAGGTCATAACACCTAATAACTTCCCACTTGTTGCAGTGTCATATTTTTGTTTTATAATGTTCCTATTTCATTATGTGAAAGGCATTACGTAAATAGAGTGGTCTCCATTAGCAGCTGTTGATTCTCCCAGGCTGACCTTTACCTATTCCTTTTCCTGCCCAAGTGATTTTCTCTCTCCCTGGAATCTCCACTTCTTATTACTCCACCCCCTCCATACACCCCACCCCATCTTCAGCATATATACTAACCTTTGCCGAGCTAAAATCAGTTCTGAAGAAGGGTCACTGGTCCCAAAACGTTAGCTCTGCTTTCTCTCCACAGATGCTATCAGACCTGCTAAATTTGTCCAGCAATTTCTGTTTTTGTACGTAAATCGAATGTTGTTATTGTTTTGAATGCGGGGATAAATCATCGACCACTTTCCTCACTACAAATCGGATGTGGATCTGCTTGTCCTGAAGTGTTTCACAAAACAAACCATTCAACACTGAGAGTGGCGGGTTCGATTTGTGTCCCTGCACTTTCACTTCTTAAAGACCCACACGCACTGATACGCCCTCCCCCTTCCACACACACACTGACCTCCCACATGCACTGACCCACCTCCCCCTCCATTCACATGCACTGACTCCTTCTTCCCCTATCCCCACATCTACTAAAGCCCCTCTTCCACTGACGCCCTCCACCTCCACCTCACACCCTGAGCTCCCCACCACATTTACTGATCCTCCTCCCCCCATTGCACTGAAACACCCTCACACTTGACCCATATGCACTGAAACCACTCCCCTCCACATGTACTGACACCCCTACCGCCCTGTATGCACTGATGCTCTCCCCTCACAATTCCGGACCCCCCCACCACTCCTATGCACTGACACCTCTCCTGCACGTGCCCTGACACCCATACTCCTCATATGGAGTAACACCTTGCCGTCACAATACACTGGCACATACTCCCCCTACCCTCACATACACTGACACCCCCTCCCATGGTCCCCATATGAACTGACACGGTTCCCACACATGCACAGACCCAGCTCCTCCTCCCTCCAAATGCAGGGTCCGAACTCCCACTTCCCAATGCACTGACCCTTAATCCCACCCCATGCACTGATAACACCTCCTGTTTCCACCATTAGACCCCCCATCCCAGAACATGCACTGACAAATTCTCCCCCCATATGCACTGATCCACCTCACCGAAAACCCACACACTGAAGCCACTCCCTTCATACACCCTGTCACCCCTTTCCCACATGCACTGAATCTCCTTCCCCACATTCCTTTTCACCCCTATTTCTCATATGCACTGATGTCCTCCCTCACAGTGCAGTGACCCTCTCCTCGCACAACCCCACATGCACTGCCACCACCCTGGTACTGTTCCCACATGCACTGATCCCCATCTTCCCCCATGGCATTGACACCTTGCCGCCTACATAGACTGACAACTGCTGCCCTCCCACCACACCCACCAACACTTGCCCCTATGCACTCACACACTTCTCTCCACAGGTGTTGATACACCCTCCCACTGCCCCCAGAGACGCTGAAACCACTCCCTCAACATGCTCTGGCACCCACTCCCCCAACAGCCACATGCACTGACCCCTCCCCCACATGCACTGACCCCTCCCACAACAGCCACATTTACTGACCCCCTTCCCCACATGCACTTACCCTTCTCCCCGCACATGCACTGATCCCCTCCCAACATGCACTGACCCCCTC